CTCCTGCCCCACCCCAAAGGGCGGACCGGGGAAGCGTGGAGGAGGTCAGCAAGGCCCCCTCCAGTCCCCCGGTCCTAGTGTGGGGTAGGGTCAGGGGTAAGGATCACAATTGTACACACCGGAAAAAGGGTTGGGAGGGGGTAACGAAGTGTCCAAGTGTGTGTGCCAGAGCTGCTTCTGGCACCCCCGGGCCCTCTGACTCTCAGTGGGGTATGCGTTTGCGGGGCGGCCCGAGGGAGGTTAGGTGGTAGGGCCGCGAGGGGGATGGGCTGCCCGCTTTGTTCGATTACTTCTTGCCTTCCCTGCCGAGGGGGGAGTTGAGGCTGTGTCCGGGGCGAGCCGGGGGAGGGACTTGGCAGTGGGGGGGGGGAGGGGGGGTGGAAGGAGCCTCCGCCGGGCCAACCCCAGGCCCATCTCCAGGGAAACAGCGGGTGGGAGGGTGCTGAAAACAGCTCGGACCCTAGCTCGCCCGGCAAGACACGCCCCTTTCCCTCCGAGACGGTGACCCGGCTGGAAGCCAGTGGCCGCTCGGTGCGTTGGGCTGGGCCGCAGAACCTGGGGGGCCCGGAGTTGTCAGGTGAATGCAGCGCGGGGAAATGTCAGAGAGGTGTCTTCCGGGAGCCCAAAGGATCAAGGAATAGTTGCTCCTCCCTACCTCCTGCTCTTCCCAAAGCTCCACGGACACGGGATCCTGGCTGGCAACCTCACTCGCGCTTTATTAAATACTTCTGAGGCCTCGGGCTGGAGCATCGGGGAGAGAGTCTGGAGACTGCCCTCTCCCTGCTTCCCAGTGCACAGGCAGAGAGGAGCGTGCATTGAGATTCTCCCTGGCTGCCACCTGAATGGCTACAGCAACTACTATTCTTGCCCTGGTTTAACCTCCTTTGAGTGTGTAACCTCTGCAGTCTGCAGACACCCCTATGGAGTGGAGGCCATCCACTCTTTCACAGCATTTGGTTAACGTGTTCCTGATGCCCAGAATGTTGCAAATAAGGTCCTAGCAGCAGGCTACCAGCCTTAGGATCAGGGTCAGAGGTCAGGATTAGCAAGGTACTGCAGAAGAGAGGCTCCCGAGCCATACTGGGAAGACCAGGAGAGGTTCTGAAGAAAATGATGGCGAGAGGAAGAGCCAGCCCTGCAGAGGGAGGAGTCTTTCAGATCAAGCAGGGGGTGCCAATACTGGGAGGTGATTTAGTTCACATCATTGCATCAAGCTAAATCTGGTGCCATTTAGAATACGTGGTGGGAGTTGGGCATGTGGGGGAGGGGTAGGCCACTAGAGAATCAAGAGAGGACGCTAAGGAGGGAACTAGTCCCAGCTCGCAAAGAACAGTGTCAGTCCCACCAAGGTTTCTGGCCTGAGACCTTCCTGCCCCACTATGGGCAGGTTTTCAGACTAGCTTTGCATCAGCTCATTGGAGCCAGTGTGGAGAATGGATGGTGCAGGGATAGGCAAGAATCTCCAGCTCCTGGGGAGGAGGTGGTGATACAGGAGACAGACAGTGTTGGCAGCTAGCAGAACAGCATGGCCAGAGTGGCTGAATTCTAGAGATATTAAGGAAACAGAATCAGAAGGGTGTGAGCATGGATCAGTGGTTTTTTTCTTTGTTTTCAATTTTATTATATGTGTATGGGTGTGTTGTCTGCAAGCATGTCAGTGTATACCATGTATGTGCCCAGTACCTGTGGAAGCCAGATGACAGTATCAGATCCTCTGAAATTGGAGTTACAAATGGTTGTGAGCCACCATGTGGGTGCTAGGAACTGAACCCAGGTCCTTTGGAAGAGTAGCCAGTGCTTTTAGCCACTGAGTCATCACTCCAGCCCCTATAGATGTGGTCTATTAGCGAGAGAAGAAAGTCAAATTCAGCATGGGCCAGAATGAGGTCTGGGACTGGGTTAAAACAATGGCAGCACCTGTCTAGTCCCGTGACCTTGCTCTTCAGTCAGAGATCGTGGCTGTGAGTTCATAGGAATGAGATTTACATCTGAGGGCAGTGGTAGGAAACAGATCTTTTACCATATGAAGGAGTGGGGCTCCCATCTCCAATCAAATCAGAATTTGAGGTTTGGGGAACCCAGAGAGCTCTGAGAATATAGGAGCCCTTTCCTTACCTGGAAAACCTCCTCCCCACCATCCCTTTCTCAACCTTGAGACTCAAGCCCATCTTAGAGGCCAACACTAGAAGCTTTTTGTTTGTTTTGAGACAAGGTTGTAGCTCTGGCTGCCCTGAAACTGGCTTTGTAGACCAGGCTGGCCTAGAACTCACAGAGATTTGCCTGCCTCTGCCTCCCAGTGCTGAGATTAAAGATGTGAAGCTTCTTTTAATAGTGACTGGTGCAGGGAATTTACCTAGATCTTCAGGTGATCTGTGTGTATTTTCATGGCCTCATTAATCACATATTTATATATGAATATTTTCCTGATTGTATCTCTTTCAAGCTAAGAGATCTCATGATCAAAGCATTATATAGTATCAGCACTCAAAGAAACATAGGAAGCTAGGCATTGTGGTGCCTATCTGTAACCCCAGTGCTTGAGAGACTGAGACAGGAGGATTGCAGTGAGGTCAGTGCAGCTGGGCTATACAGTGACTCAACTTACTCCAGTCAAAAGAGAGAAAGTAATCGAAAGAATTTATTCAAAAAGAGTCTATTTTACAGATGGGCGACCTGAGTGTTATTCAATTAGGAACTGATCTGGGGCCAGACCAGTCTCCTGGTTCTTTCTTGTAAGGCAGCCTGGCCACTCTTCCCAGGGAATTGTACACAAACCAGTTCACCCTCACTGCACTTCTTCCATAGAGAAGTTAGCAGCTTTGAACCTGAGTCTTCTCTCTGGTTGGTCCAAAGATATGGAATTGTTTCACCCACCTCCTGCTCGCTCCAATGTCTCTGAGGTACAGCAACCAGACTTGGAATTCTAGATGCAGAACATATGTGGCTGCCAGATAGTCCTGGGGCTCCCAGGAAGGCAGGGGGAGGAATAAGGGGCTCTATGGAGAAGTCGTGGGGATGGAAAGTGGGGTTCAGGGAAGGATGTCCTGGGGTCTGCAAGAATGGGCCAGGCTAGCTGTAGGATTCCCGTAGATGTGGAGGGGCAGTGGGGTCATTGGGGTCAAGGAGGCCAAGGGCCAATAAGCTTTCTCCAGGTGCAGGTCAGGACTCCTGATCACTTGATGAGGGGCCTCTTACTTTATTTACATGACCTTATTGTGTAGTTTTGAGGACAGAGCTCTGGCACCCATCGGCAGAACATATGCAGAGACACAGGTTGGTTCAGAAGAAATTCTTTTAAGCATATGAGTTGTATAGCAGAAACTATACAGCTGTATAGCTGTATAGCAAGATAAAGGGCTCCCGCCCTAATGTTGTTCAGACAAAGTTTTACTATGAATTTGCTGTTCTGTTTCTGTGTGGTTTTTGTCAGCATGTTTCAGACAGGGCTGATGTAGCCTAGGCTGGCCTTAAACTTACTTTGTAGCTTCGAACTTCTATTTCTTCTACCTTTACCCTCTGAGTGTTGGGATTACAGGGTTCACCACCACATGAAGTGCTGGGAACTAAACTCGGCATTTCATGCATGCTAGGTAAGCATTCTACCAACTGAGCATATCCCCAGCTCCCAGTCTAGGTGGTTTTAAAGCATTTTATTAGGTGTTTAGTAGAGGCCACATAATATGCCAGGCAGTTTCTGTCTGTATTATTCAGATCGTCCCTAGCTCTGAAGGGAGTTACTTTCACAGATTACAAAGCCAAGGCTTGGAAAGGCATACGGAATTCTATGATATTATTTGAGAGGGTCTGCATATCTACACAGCCATTTGAGAAATATGTATTGAGTATCTACACAAGACACTTGTTTTAGATGCTGAAGCCTAAAGGACAACTAGGATATGATCCTAAGAGATAATTAAGGACAAGTCAAAAGCTCAGTTGGTAGCTTGCTGGTGGCCCTGTAGCCCAGCATGTAATCCTAGCACTTGGGAGGTAGAGGCAAAGGGATCAGAGGTTCAAGGTCATTCTCAGCTGCATATAGAGATCAACAACAGCCTGAGCTACATGACATGGGTCTCAAAAAGACAGTCTGGAGTGGTAAATGCAGCAATCAGGCACTCCATTTCCTAGAGGCAGGAAGCCTTGGAGGGACAAGTGTAGTACTGTTCAAAGCCTTTCTAGGAAGACGTAGCAAGGGAACCCACAAGGCAACTTCCAGAGGCTTGGGGGTGGCTTGTTTTGTATGGCTTGGTGAGCAAGGACATCAGAGGGATCAGGTGGAGGGAGGGAGGTCATGTTGGATGTGGCTTTGCTGTCACCCTAGATGACAATGAGTCTCCCTCTCTGGATTGTAGATAGAGGGAGGCTGAGGCCTTCCTTGTGTTCTTGGCACCCACTCAGACTCTCCTTCCAGCTGTTGGAGGGAGGGACTTAGTATATGGTGAGGAAGGTGGCCAAGGTTCTGGAAGAAACTGACTTGTGTCTCTTGGGAAAGAAGAGTGGCCTATGGTGTCAGGGAGGATTGCCCTACAAGTGAGAACAAGTTGTAAATCTGTGGAAAACAGCAAGGAAGCTCTGATGTTGTGGCAAGTCATTGGCTTTACTCCCCTCCCCCACCTACATACCCTGTCCTTTCTGAACATTCCATGAAGAATAGAACCCAACTCAGGCTCCTGGGGACCTCACCAAATAGCTCCAATCAGACCCTGGAACTCTGTAACAAATTGCCTTTCTGATTAGGTTCTTACTGGTCTTATAAAACCTAATCTATCCTCTTGGGTGGCCAAAAGAGCTTCTTAGAGCCCAGCATGGTGGTGCAAACCTGTGTAAGAAGTGTTTGGGAGGCAGAGGCAGGCAGATCTCTGTGAGTTTGAGGCCAACCTGAGAGCGAGCTCCAGAATAGCTAGGGCTACACAGAGAAAAAATCAGGGGTGGGGAAGTCGGGGGTGGCAAAGAAGAAAAAGAAGCAGAGGCAGGAGGGTCAACATAGTGGGTTACATAGTGAGATCATGTCTCAAGAAAGAAAGAAAAGAAAGGGGGGAGGAAAAAAAAAAGAAGATTGAGGGCCAGGCACAGTGGCACATGCCTTTAATCATAGCACTCAGGAGGCAGAGGTAGGGGCAATCTCTGTGAGTTTGAGTCCAGCATGGTTTACATAATGAGTTTCAGGACAGACGGGGCTAATTTGAAAGACCCTGTCTCAAAAAGAAAAGAAAAAGAAAAAATAAGGTTGAGAAATGGCTGGGGGAATTCCAAAAGCAGTTCTGTATCTATGATTGGGTCTCACCAAAAAGACTGATGTAGACTGAGGGAAACCCCTGAAGATGAAAGCCTGGTACCAGCAAGTGTCTCCTGGTCCTGTGAAGACCAGGAAGATGCTTGTGCAAAGGACTTTGGGAGTCAGCCATGCAGTGGCTTGGGGGAGCAAGGTCCCTTGGACAAGTGAGGTTTACTCACTTTCCCCAATTTCAGTCATCACTATTATGGGCCTGGTGGTAGACAAATCAGACTTTTTTTTCTTTTGGTTTTTCAAGACAGGGTTTCTCGTGTGTATCCCTGGCTGTCCTGGAACTAGTTCTATAGACCAGGCTGGCCTCAAACTCACAGAGATCGACCTGCCTCTGGCTTGCTTTTCTTGAAACAGGGTTTTATGTAGCCCAGGCTGGACTTGAACTCCCTATATCATTGTGGATGACCTTGAACTTTATGTGTGTAGTGTTAGGAATTGAACTTAGGGGCTCAAATATACTAGGCAAGCAGTCCTATGACTGAGCTATATTTCTAGCCCGCTCTTGAACTTCTGATCCTCCTGTCTCCGCCTCCCTAGTTCTGACATTTCCTATTTCAGGTGTGTACCACTAAACCCTAATTATCCAGAGCTAGGGATCAAACCCAGGGCCTCCAGCATCCTAGGTCTGAGCTACTTCTCCAGACCAAGAAGTTTGTTGTAAATGTTTGAGTTTGGAGATTGCCCTTAAACAAGGATGGAAAAGTGAGAAGGGGAGAAAAGGAACTAACCCAAGATTGTGCAAGAAATGACTGGACTTAGTCCTGGAGGAGGGGGCCAAACGATGGGGGCGAAGCACAAAGCTTGTTTCACCTGTAATAGAAACGGAAAAATGCTCAGGAGACGTGCAAATGGCATTTGAAAAACTTCCCTAGAGGAAGGCAGAGAAGTCTCCTGGAGGGAGGCTGGCATCTGGGCAGAGCTCCCTGGAAAACTTCTTTTTCAAGAGTGTTCTTCCTAGTTGCCGGTTCATCTCCTAAAAGTCCAAGGACCGTTTGCTCAGATCTCCACACCGCACCCCTATCTCTGGTCCTTAGTTTCCTCACCCGTGGAATGGACCTTGGACTTCGGAAAGTTGCCACTGAAATGGGTCCACTAAGCCTTTGCCACAGGCCTGCTGCTCTCTGAAGCGGACCCCTTCTCTTTCTGTGTCTTCATCCCTGCGGGTTTCCTTGATTCCGCCTTGCTGGGCTCCTCTGAGGTAGTGAAGCTAGACATCTGCTGATCCATGAATATTCAGGAAGGGAACTGGAGCTCCTGGGGCCCCCCTGCCAGCCACCAGCCCCTCTGGCGGCTGTCCTGCCCGCCAGAGCCCAGGCTGCTGACATACTCAGCAGCTGCTCGGGCCCCAACTGTTCACATTGTTTGTTCAGCACGGCAGGGGATTTTCCAAGCCCCGGACATGCTTTAGGGGGTGGGGAGGCTGCCAGAGGGCTCGAGGATTCGTGTTTGTGGGGGCTTTTTCTCCTCTGAAACCCAAGCCTACAGTTCTGCCACTGGACCAGAGCATTTGAAGCTGCTGGGCTGAGAGCCCATGCTTGCCTTCCACGACTCTAAGTTTGAATCATGAAATCTAGGGCTTTAGAAGAAGAGAAAGGGCTGGATGCGAAGAGCAGCAAAGAGCGTTTGTGTAGCTCCTTGACGGGTGCCCAGGGTCCTAAAGAATGCGCGGCTGGGGCTCCGGGTGCAGCTGTGTGATGAGCTTTTGCCTAACCTCACAAAACCATTGGTTCTATCCCCAGAACCACCAAAAAAGAATGAGCTCCCTGCTTCTTGAGCGATGTCCATTGGGCTCTGGGCTGAACCCCTGACACTTTTGCAGCACTTGGTTGATTCCCACAGGCTCAGTAGCATCTGCATTTTAACTATGTGGAAACTGAGACTCAGAGAGGACACCAGGCTGCTGTCACAGCTGGCAGGGGAAGCAGCAAGACTGGGACCTTGATCTCTCTGTCTCTATCTGGTGTGTGTGTGTGTGTGTGTGTGTGTGTGTGTGTGTGTGTGTGTGTGTGTTTGTTGTATGTGTGCGTTCATGTGTAAGTGTGCATGCAGAGGTCTTTTTTTAAGTGAGGGCATGGATGAGATGCGGTTCACTGAGGATAACAGCAGCATGAACCACCTGGTGTCCTGAAGTACCAGGATGCTTAGCTGAGGAGGAGGAAGAGTTTGAGGAGGAGGTGGGCTGTCTCAGAAGCTAAAGCATAGGAGCAAGGTGAACCCTCTATTCACTCACAAGCCTGTCTGCTGGTCGTGCCCTGACATCATTTGTACAGATGCCACCATTAGAGCAATTTCATAGTGAGAAATAAATAATTAATTAAAATTTAGATGTATTTATTTTATTTGATGTGTATGAGAGTTTTGCTTGTGTATGTGTTTATTCAGGTACATGGACCTCAGATCCCTTGGAACTGGAGTTACAAATGGTTGTGAGTCACCATGTGAGTGCTGGTCCTCTGCAAGAGTAACAAATAGCCTTAATGGCTGAACCATCTATCCAGTCCCTACCTTACTTTTTTGAGACAGTGCTCTCACTGATTGGAGCTCATTGGCTAAACTGGCTCCAGGGATCCACTTGTCTCTACCTCCTCAGCACTGGGATTACAGATGTGAGTGCTAGGGATCCAAATTCAGATCCCCACAACTGTGTGGAAAACACTTTTCCCACTGGGCCATCTCCCCAGCCCCTGGAAGCTCAATTGTATGCCCAGAGTGGGACTGCCTTCTCCCCTGACACTTGCTGCATCACTCAGGCCAGCCTTGCAGCCAGATCTGTCTAGGAGAGCCTTGCGGATAAAGTGGGAGAGCAGCGGTCTGGTGAGGTTCTTTCTGACCCTCCATCCTTCACATCTCTTCCCTGTCCCCTTGTCTCAGCGAGTTAGGACTGTCTCCCCACCCCTTTACTACTGTTGTTCTATTGTTATTATTATTATTATTATTATTATTATTATTATTATTATTAATTTTACGTGTATAGGCATTTTGCCTGCATATGTGCCTTGTGTCTGCCTGCTGCTTGCAGAGAGCAGAAGAGGAAATCAGAGCCCCTGGAACTGGAGTTACAAATGGTTGTGAGTTGATGGGGGTACTGAGCCTGAATCCCAGTCCTCTGAACAAATAGCCAGTGCTCTTAACCACTGAGCCATCTCTCCAGTCCCTGGCCTATCACCCCCATCTCCCCAAGACAGTGTTTTTCTGTGTAGCCCTGGCTATCTTGGAACTTGCTCTGTAAACCAGGCTGGCCTTGAACTCACAGAGATCTGCCTGCCTCTGCCTCCCAAGTGCTGGGACTAAAGGTGTGCACCACCACCACCCAGCCCCTGGACTGTCTTATTCCTCTTTGAATGCTATGGGGAGGAAACATGAAGACACAGGAATTGTTGACTGCTGTGGCAGACAGAGGAATATGTATGTCGGGAAACATAGATGGAACAGTGTGGGGTGTTCATGGGGAGTGCTGTGTTTGCTCCATAACAGATATCTCTGTATCAGTGAATAAGCTGAGACCTGGAAGAAGCGCTTAGCTCAAGGCACACATCTTCCTGATTGCCTAGCCTTCCTGCTTTGTGTGGCTCTGCCACTCCAGACTTGCCTGATGATAAAGATGTCACTTCCATCCTTGGTCTGCTTTCAGATGTGTCATGCTACCTTGCAGTGAGGAGTCAGGCCAGAGACTAAGAGAAGACCTTAGACTACTGAGTTTTTATGGCACAGGGAGACAGCAGTTTAGCTGTGATGAAGGACTCACATGGCAAACCATAGATCCATAATAATGATGGGCAGGCTCTGTTGAATCATTTAAGTATGATAAGAAATATTTCCCTCTGCAATGTTGTCTTGATTCAGGATCGAGTGCATTCTATAATGATCCTCCTCCCTTTGTGGCAGGGGCAGTGTTAGGATCTACAGGCAGTATGTACACACACACACACACACACACACACACACACACACACTCATACTTGCTTTACACACATAGTACATTTTTCAGAGTTTTCCACCTACAACATTTTTCTAGCTGTGGTGTGTATTTAGCTGGGTGATAGTGGTGGGGATATCCATTGGATTCCAGAGGGAATAAAACCACTGACCCACCACACAGTGCCAGGCAATGCTACGTCTTCTGCATGTCATCCGAGTGGGCACTCACGACAGCCCTAAAAGGAAGGAATTGCTATGTATTTTTTTAAACCAAGATACAACTCACAATTTACATGGAATTTACCACACCACGTGTATAAGTATGCTTTTTTGAGACAGAGTTTCATGTAGCCCAAGCTGGCATCTAAGTTACTACATAGCTGAAGATGAGGATGACCCTGAACTTTTGATCCTCCTGCCTCCATCCCTGGAATTTGGGGAATATAGGTGTGACCCCAGTGCTGGGGGTCAAACACAGGCCTCCTGCATGCTATGCAAGCCATCTACCAACTGAGCTATATCCCCTGCACTGTACCCTCCACCCTGTGGTTTTTAATATACTAATAAAGTTGTGTTCCTCGAACACTGTTTAATTCTAGAACATTTTTATCAAAAAGAAACCTCATGTTCCTTAGCAGTCACTCTCCATTCCTCTCTCTTCAAAATTCTTGGTAACCATTAATCTACTCTCCTGTCTGTGGACATTTCACGGAAATGAGATCACCAAGTTTGTAGCATGTGGTGACTGGTGTCTTTCACTTGGCATGAAGTTTCCAGGGCTCCTCCATGCACAAGCAAGCAGAGTACTTCATCCCTTCTGCTGAATGAACAAAATATTAGTCACTGGTGAAAAGCAAACACTTGGGTCGAATCTACTTTCTGGCTGTTGTGATAGACTGCCGTGAGCTGGGATTTTGGTGGTTGAAGAAGTCAAGCTAGGGGCTGGAGAGATGGCTCAGAGGTTAAGAGCACTGACGGTTCTTCCAGAAGTCCTGAGTTCAATTCCCAGCAACCACATGGTGGCTCACAACCATCCATTATGAGATTTGGTGCCCTCTTCTAGTGTGCAGATATACATGGAAGCAGAATGTTGTATACATAAATAAATAAAATATTAAAAAAAGAAACTGTTTTAAAAAAAAAGAAGTCAAACTATGGAAAGATGGGACCCAAGAAGAAAGGAGCTTCTGGCAAATGGAGAACTGGCTCAGATAGATGCAGGGTCTTTCCACACAAGATTGGCACTGGGTGGTGAGCCAGTGATCAGAAGTCCACACACCCACAGCCCTGGTGCCTCTTTCTCCTCACAGGAGAGCTGCTGTTGCCCCAGGAGACAACTGTCAAGCTGAGCTGTGATGTGGGGCCACTGCAAGTGGTCCTGGGGCCCAAGCAGGCTGCAGTGCTGGACTGTAGTTTAGGGACTGCTGCTGCCGGACCACCGACCAGGGTGACATGGAGTAAGGATGGGGACTCTGTGCTGGAGCATGACCACCTACAACTTCTACCCAATGGCTCCCTGTTGCTGTCCTCACCTCTAGAACCAGAAGACAGTGCTGATGAGGAAGCTTTTAGGAGATGGAAGGTCATTGAGGGCAGCTATTCCTGTCTGGCCCATGGCCCACTGGGAGTAGTGGCCAGCCAGGTTGCTGTGGTCAAGCTTGCCAGTAAGTGCTTGCATATGGGGTGAGGGTTGGGATTTGGAGACCAAAGGGAAGGGATGGGGGGGGGCAGAAGCCCAGCCCAGGATCCCTCCTCCTTTCCTGTCTTGCCTACTAGGTCCTGCCCTGCTACTATCTGCCCTTACTTCCCCGCCCTAGTATACAGGGGTAGCATGTCTACCAGGAAGGGGTCAGGGCCCCAAAGCTGTCTCTTTATGTTCCCCACCCAAATACTACCATGCACAAAAGGTATAGCCAACCCCATTCTCCTGGCACTGACCCCTCAGGGCTCTCTAGAGCCCAGGCTACCAAGAAATGAACCTGTCTTATAGTGTGACTGTGAGGAGGACCTTGCATTCACTCAGCACCATCTAACCAGTAATCTTTTTTTTTTTTTGCCACCTCTCTCTGCTCCCCAACTGTGTCTCCCTTGGCCACCTGTCTCCCCTCCCCAACTGTGTCCCTTGCTCTGGATTTGCTTGGCTCTGTGTTTCCGTGACTCTGTGTTCTGTGTCACCGTGCATACTGCACTCACTCTCTCTTCACTGTGCTTATCCCCAGCACTTGCAGACTTCTCTCTGCATCCGGAGTCCCAGACAGTGGAGGAGAATGGGACAGCACGCTTTGAATGCCACACTGAGGGGCTACCAGCCCCCATCATTACTTGGGAAAAGGACCAGGTGACAGTGCCTGAGGAGCCTCGGTGAGTGATCTGCAAAGGAGTCTGCCCCAGTGTACAGGGCAGAGGGTTCTGGGACATGCTTAGAACTGTAGAGCTGGGATTCTTAGATCCAAGGTGGCTCCAATCACCTACACTCACCCAAGAGCCAACTGCTAGCCTAACTTCTAGCCTGGTTAGAAGGTTTCCTCTCTGGACAAAAAGTCACCCACCAGGTTGGGGTGCATAGAACTGGAGAACAGTCTAGAGCCCTTCCAAGCACTCATAGTCCACCGCTTGCTTTACTGAGGACACTAAGTGCCAGAGAGTGGCTGTGATCTATTTACAACCACAGCAGGAGCCACTGACAGAAGGCTGGCTTCTGCTCAGATTGCTCTTTCCAAGGTTCCTCTGGAGTTTCTCCCTGGACTCCTAACTTCTCGTCCTGTCTCTGCTCTATCCTGTCAGGCTCAGGCATCTGGTAGTAGTCCACAGGGCCTGTCTTGTTTCATTCTCCTCTCTTCCTATAAAGATAGTGGCTTGGTGGAACAATCCAGCGAAAGTTCCAGATTGGAAGCAAAGCAGAGGACAACCAGGACTTTTTCCCTGCTGTGGCCTCCTGGCAAGTCCAGATGCACACATAGCAGCCCAGAACCCAGAGGCTTTCTGCCTCTGAGGTCTCCGGGTTGGCTTCAAGTCACCCCTTGGGACTTATACATCTTTGGGGGATGTGGCTTCAAAGGTCTGTCCCAAGCGTTCCACAGCCCTCTTCTGCATCTGTCTGTCAGCTTCCTCTTTGTCCTCTGCTACATGGAAGTGGGATCCTCACCTCTGGCTTCCAAATGACTCCTAAGCACCCCCCCCAACTCACTTCTTGACTATTGGGCTGCCCCTAACCTTGCTGAGTCATGGGGTTGGGAAGTGTAGAAAAATCACAGGACATCTGTGATCAGATAAAGTCAACAGATAGGATCCTTGTTGATTTAGTGTAGCTTGGCCTCCACTCATCCTTAGTACATGGCTTCCCATTCAGCTCTACTCTACCTGTATTTGTGAAATGAAATGGAAAGGGCATTCAAACAAGTTGGAATTTCCCAAACATGGTCTTTTTTATTTTATTTTATTTTTTGTTTTTTTGAGACAGGGTTTCTCTGTGTAACAGTCTTGGCTGTCCTGGAACTTGCTTTGTAGACCAGGCTGACCTCAAACTCACAGAGATCTGCCTGCCTCTGCCTCCCAAGCACTGGAATTAAAGGTGTGCCCAACCCACCACCCGGCAGTCCAAATGCAGTCTTTATATTAGTGTATTAGTTTTTTCTTTTTCTTTCTTTCTTTTTTTTTTTCTTTTTTTTTTTTTTTTTTTTTGAGACAAGGGCTCATTGTAGTTCAGGCTGGCCTCAAACTCAACATTAGTCAAGGATGACCCTGAACTCTTAATCTTCCTATATGCTGGGTTCTGGAATAACAGTTTATGTGGTTGTAGGGATGGGACCCTGGGCTTTGGACATGCTAGGCTAGTATTCTTACTTAGCAACTGAGCTACATCCCCAGCCCCAAAATATATTTTTAAAGTTCATATAAACAACAAAGAAAGAAAAACTATCTCATTGCCCAACTACTGTTATTTGTGGGGAGGTCAATTGTGGGTTTTTTTTTCCGACATAGGGTCTTGCTAGGTAGCCCAGGCTAGCCTCGGACTTAGGACCTTTCTGTCTCAGCTTCTGAAGTCTTGGAGTTATAGGCCTGTGCCACCATACTTGGCTCCATTTATTAGTTTTTGTTTCTGTTTTTCACTCATTGTTAGGTTTCTGTTTTGCTTTAAACAGGATCTCCCTGTGTGTTCCAGGGTTGTCTAGATCTCACTATGTAGACCAGGCTGGCCTCACTAGAACAGCAGGGATCAGACTTTCCCTCCCAGCATCTAATTCAGGCATCATCCCATGGAGCTACAGGCGTCACCCACGAGGTGAAGCTGCCAGCTCCTGGCTCCAGCAGCGCTTGCCACCAAGTCCTCTGAAAATTGATCCTGGTCTATAAATAGCCCAGGCTCACATGCCCCAGCACATTGTGTCAGGGAATAAAGAAATGTCTAAAACAGCAACTTGATTTTGGCCAAGGTATGTATTTTCACATGTGTCCAGATATACAAAATGATAGTGGTAAACTCAGCCCAGTGGTTTTAGGAGGTTGTAGGCTGTGAACATTTTCAGTACAACCACACTGTCAGGAGAAAAGCACAGATTTTCTAACTAATGTTAACAGCTAAATCCCAAAGCAATCCCCTGGTGTTTACTCTTGTTTGTTTGTTTATTTCAAGGCACTCTCATGTAGCCTAGGTTGGTCTTGAACTTCCAATTTCCCTGCTTCTACTTCCCCAGTGCTGGGACTGCAGGCATGAGCCACCATAACCTGCTCATGAAGTGCTGAGGATAAAACCCAGGGTTTTGTGTATGTCTACTCTACCAGCTTAGCTACACCCCAGCCCCACTTACACTAACTTCTAATAATAGGGTATACTTTGTCTTCCACAGGGGCCAGTCATAAATGAGACTAACAATTGGACTTTATGTTAAGATTTATGCCAAAACACACAACTTTACGGAACGAGAAGGGAGGTCACCTACTAACTAAACATAGTTACTAACATTTTGAGTATTCCATACAGTCCATTTGAAATACATGTGAGGTTCATACCTGTATAAATGTGTTTGCAGTTTGTAACTTATGGTGTCTGTGTCCCTTACGGAATGTGAGCTTGTGGGAAGAGGGTCAGAGCTGTGAAGCACGCAGGACAGGATCACTGGACTCTTTTTCCAGATGAAAAAACTGTTACCCAGACATGTCATGTCCCTTGCCACAGCCACACACATTAGAACTGTTTCTCTCGCCCTTCTACATTGCTGTTTCTTCTGTGTGGAAGCCCACCATTACAAAACAAAATGGGGAAAGGCATACACTTTTAAGTTTCACATTTGAAAATGTTCTATCCCGGGGCTGGAGGGATGGCTCAGAGGTTAAGCACTGGCTGCTCTTCCAGAGGTCCTGAGTTCAATTCCCAGCAACTACATGGTGGTTCACAACCATCTATAATGAAATCTGGTGCCCTCTTCTGACATGCAGGCAGAACACTGTATACATAATAAATAAATAAATCTTAAAAGAAAAGAAAATGTTCTATCCCAGCATTCAGAAGGTTGAGGCAGAAGGATCAGAAGTTCAGACTCATCTTCAACTGTACAGAGTGAGTTTCAGACCAGCCTGTGGTATCATATTTTATCTCAAATAATTATTTATTTCATTTTGTGAAGCTCAACAAATAAGAGTCCCCAGTAATTGCTATGCAGAGAAAACCCCATGCACTACCCAACCTTGGCTTTTTCTTCATGCATCCCAACCTATCATTTATCTGTTTTCCAAAACCAGAATTTCTTCCTAAGCAATATTTTGTGACTTCTCCCCTACTAGCCAATACATCCCGGACATCTTTCCAAAATCAGAGCTTCCAAAACTACATTGTAACAAAAACAGAAAAGGTTTAGACAGCCCTGAGCAGGCAGGGTCCCACCTTGCCTCTGGCTGCAGCTACAGCTCTGTGCCCAAGAAAGGAGCGTGTCTACCCATGCACACAAAGTTAAGTTCTAGGAACAGATTTGCTCTTGGCACTTGGTGTATCATTTTCCTGGCAAGACCAGAGACCCTTAGGGTTAGAAAGTGGAGGCTATTAGCTGAGGCACTGTCTGGCTGGAGGGTGGAGGGAAGAGGAAAAGCTTTGGAATGCAGCTTTGTTAGGTAGGGTCTGGCATGAGGGGGTCTCATGAGGGGCCTGCTTGTTCTTTCTCATTTAATTTCTCATGGCAGTGGGTTGGGTACTGGCCCAGATATTTGCTTGCATCCCCTCCTGATTCAATACCCCCACCTCTTACTTTAGCACATGTGTGAGTGGATCTGGAGCTGAGGTCAAAGGTTGCATGGGGGACAGAGGTTCACCTGGGGGACAAGGAAAGGAGTGACACTGCCACTGCAGGTTTCCAAGCACCTGTCTAGAATGTCTCCCAAGACCCTTCTTCAGTCCCTGGTCCGTTCTACCTCTCCAACATTTAGATTTTCTCAGCCCCTGCTTCTCTAGGAGCAAAGGGTCTTCCTCCAGCACACCTCTGCCCTGTCCCCCTCTGACTCCGCTCAGTTTTTCACCTAAGATTTTCATCACTTGGAGCTGACCCTGTAGAAGACCTCATCACCCCCTGTTTAGTTGAGAATACTCAGTGCCCATCATCCCAATCTTCCTGCCCCAAATTTCTCAAGCAAGGCCTCCTGGCCTCCTCAATCCTCTAACAGGAGATCAGGTAACAATGCAGTCACCCCACCTGGCCCTCTAAAGTGCTGTGTAGATTGCTGGATGGGACCTACTAGAAACCACACCCATTCCTTCCCACAGACATCCCTAGCTCTGTGAGTAGTGGGCTGAGCATAGCATTGAGGGCCAGGAGACCCAGGTTCAAGATGTTTTATTTTGTAGCATGGTGGCCTCAAACTCACTATGTAGCACAGGACGACCTTGAACTTCTGATCCTCCTGCCTCTACCTCCGGAGTGCTGTAACTGCAGGCACGGAGCATCAGTGGTTTATACAATGCTAAAGATGGAAGCTAGGACCTGGTGTACACTAGATAAACACTCTTCTAACCACAGCCCAAGACCCTGGTTTCAGTTCTGAACTGCTCCAGCTTAAAGACCCTAGGTGAACATCCTCCTCTGAGATTTGTTACTGTAAAATTAAGGTTGTGATTCTCCTGTCTCTTGGGATTCTTTCGAGGGTCAAATGAGATAAGGGAATTTTTCTTAGGGAGAAGAAGAGGAAACAACGGTAAGAAGTTAATGGGGCAGAGAGATGGCTCAGCAGTTAGACATGGACTGCTCCTCCAGAGGACCTGGCTTCAGCATCCAGTACCCATATCCAGCTGCTCCATCTGTAATTCCAGCCCTCTTCTGGTCTCAGCAGACACATGCACACACCTACACATAGTTTAAAAAAAAATCCTCAGAAGGAAAAAAAAAAGAGGTTAAAAAAATCCAAATTGTTTTGTTTGTTTTTTTGTTTTTCAAGACAGGGTTTCTCTGTGTAGCTTTGGACCCTATTCTAGCACTCGCTCTGAAGACCAGGCTGGCCTCGAACTCACAGAGATCCACCTGCCTCTGCCTCCCGTGTGCTGGGATTAAAGGCGTGCACCACCAACCCCGGCAAAAAAATCCAAATTGTTTAAAGTATATGTATGCATAATAAAAAGTAAGTTTCTGACAGGCAGTAGTGGCATACATCTTTAATCCCAGCATTCAAAAGGCAGATCTCTGCGAGTTCAAGGCCAGCCTGTTCTACAGAGTGAGTTTCAGGAAAGCCAGGACTACAACGTGAAACCCTGTCTTGAAAAAAAAAAAAAAAAAAAAAGTAAGTTCTTTATACCCCCAGAATTTTAGTGTCCACTCATGTGATTTTGTGGCACCAAAGCACACTGTGCAGATGGCTCCTGGACCTGCAGCATTCCAGGAAGTCCTCAAACCTGTCAACTCAGGCCAGACCCAACTGTTTCCAGCCTCTGGCTTTGTGGACAGGGTTGCTGTGTTTGCTGCACATGTCTGAGACTCACGGGGTTACAGTCCAAGAAGTGCCAGGGCTAGATCAAAACCTCCTTGATGTTGAACTATGTGAGCTTGCCCAGGAAACAGGATATGTTAGGTGACAGCTGCAAGACAATTGTGCCTTCCTCAATTTTCTCGCCCACCTAAGCTGTTACTAAATCTTTTAGTCTTTGCCAATCTGTTAGATAAGGTTGGATCTTGTAGTTTGGATTTGCATTTCTGTCACTGTGGGCCACCTCTATATGTCCTTCCCCCACCTCACAGGCTCCCTCTCTTCCTTCTCAAGGCTCATCACTCTTCCCAATGGCGTCCTCCAGATCCTGGATGTCCAGGACAGTGACACAGGATCCTACCGCTGTGTGGCCACCAATTCAGCCCACCAACGCTTCAGCCACGAGGCTTCACTCAGAGTGGCCCTCAGAGGTAAGGGGACAGGCAGACAGGAAACCTGGAGATTTCCAGGGACGGACATCTTGGAAATGAAAGGGACCAGGCCAGATCTTCTGACAAATGACTGGGTAGTAGTAGTTCTACATGAGGCTAAGACTGGGGTTAGGGACCCAAGATCCCAACTTCCCGTATAGGGTTTCTTCCTTCTTATGGGGTATCTGTGCTTCCTAGGACTGGGCAGGAACTGGTGAGCAGGCAAGGTTATCAAAAGAAGGGTGTCAATGACCTACAGTGTCCGTCCCTTCTCCCCCTCTGGGTGCCTTAAGGGCTCTGGGCAGGTGGGGGCCCTGTCTCACTCTCCATTTTATATACTGCCAGTCTGGCTCAATGTCACCTGTGTGCTGGTCCTTTTCTGCCTTTCTTTTTTTTTTTTTCCTTCAATTTTTTACATTTATTTTTGTGTGTTTGTGCACACGTCCATGACACTCATGAACAGAGAATAATTTGTGGAAGCCATTTGTCTCCTTCCACTAAATGGGTTCCTAAGATCCGACTGGTGTCTTCAGGCTTGGCGGCAAGCAACGTTAGCTCTTGAGCCATTTTGTAAGTCCCTTTTCTGCCTTTCTTTGAAAAGCTCCTGCCGGGATAAGTTGGTGGCAAGGGCACTGGTTTTGGTGTCACAAAGACTTGTTTTGACTCTCCTCACCCATCTGTGTGACCCTGGTCTGGAGATGGAATGTTCAGCTCAGAGAGGTTAGAATAATAACCGAGATGGAAATGGAAACTTGTTTGGCACTCCACAGCTGCTCAATAGATCTAACTTCGAGCCTCCCCCAAGGTCGCTCTTGTGCCATAACTCCCTTTCCCTGGTCCTATCCTCTTGTCCTTGGGGCTTCTCTGGGTTGCTGCTAGGGAGGACTTTGCGCTCTCTTCTGCACTGAGCCTCTGCCTCCCCCTGCTGGGCAAACAAGGTGTTCACCATTCTGCGTCGCGAAGAGAGTATTGGATACAGAAAACACAGCGCGAAGCGTCCGTGCTAAAAACTGGAGGCCACCCTTTGCTTTTGTACTTAGGACCCCCAGGCATTTTAGGGAAGGCATCTGCCTAACTCACACAACGCCTTATAGGTTATATAGATCTGCCTATATAGATCTAGGCAGTGCTAGATCTAGAATCGAGTGCTGGGTCCAAAGCAAAGGCCCGGTGGGATGGATTTGGGAGGGAAATATGGGTGTAATCTGCGACAGTCATTTGCGGGGTGGGGTTCATTTGTGTCGAAGAGCATTCTTCTGGCTCCAAGAGACAGAGCCCCGAGGTTCAGGCCAGCTCTATTGAACTTGGTAGCTGCTTTCCCCTTCTGACAGAAGGAATCCTGATGCCCCCTGCTCCCCTGCCTCAGTCATTACAGGAGCAGCAGGTGGCAGGCAGACCCCCTCCTCCTATTGTCTCTCCAGGGTCTTTGGAGGCTACCAGGGGCCAGGATGTGGTCATTGTGGCGGCCCCAGAGAACACTACTGTAGTGTCTGGACAGAGCGTAGTGATGGAGTGTGTGGCCTCTGCTGACCCCACGCCTTTTGTGTCCTGGGTCCGACAGGGTGAGTGCGGAGGGAAGAGGAGGAAGAGACTGGGGGAATGGGCAGGATGGTGCTGTGTCTCAGGGACTCCAGGTCAGTAGCTACCTAAAGATAGAAGGGGAGGGCTGGAGAGATGGCTCAGAGTTTAAGAGTGCTGGCTACTCTTCCAGAGGTCCTTAGTTCAATTCCCAGCAACCATATAGTGGCTCACAACCATCTATTATGAGATCTGGTGCCCTCTTCTGGTGTGCAGATATACATGGAAGCAGAATGTTATATACATAATAAATAAATAAAATCTTTAAAAAAAAAAGATAGAAGGGGAGAACTGACTCCACAAAGTTGTTCTCTACCTCCGTAAGCACTTTCTAGCATGGCCAACATGTACATGCATTCATGCAATAATAAAGTGTAAAGAAGTTTGTATTAAAGCCCAGCAAAGGTAGCTCATGTCTTTTATCCCAGCCCAGAGGCAGGCAGATCTCTGAGTTCAAGGACAGCCTGGTCTACAGAGTGAGTTCCAGAACAGCCAGGGCTACACAGAGAAACCCTGTCTCCAAAAACAAAAAATAAAAACAGCAAAAAAAAAAAGTTGTATTAAATATCTGCCTCAGGGGCTGGAGAGATGGCTCCACAGTTAAGAGCAGTGTTTGCTCTTCCAAAAGTCCTGAGTTCAAATCCCAGCAACCACACGGTGGCTCACAACCATCCGTAATGGGATCTGATGCCCTCTTATGGCCTGCAGGGATACATGCAGACAGAACACTATATGCATAATAAATAAATAAATTTTTAAAAAATGGACTCCCAGACTCCCTCTAGCTGCCATCTTGCATCCCCATATGTGTGTGCCTTATCTCAGTTGGTCTGCCCAAGACCCCTGAGTGCGAACCCTAGTCCCCCACCTGGGCCCATTTCCACTCCAACAAGATGAAAGAAACGATCATGAACCAGGAAAAACTGGCCAAGCTGCAGGCACAAGTATGCATTGGTGGGAAAGAAACTGCTCGCAGAAAGAAGAAGGCGGTTCACAGAACAGTCACAGCAGATGATAAAAAACTGCAGTTCTCCTTAAAGAAGTTAGGAGTGATCATGTTTACAAACCAAGGAACAGTGACCCATTTTAACAACCCTAAAGTTCAGGCATCTCTGGCAGCAAACACCTTCACCATTACAGGCCATGCTGAGACAAAGCAGCTGACAGAAATGCTTCCCAGCATCCTAAACCAGCTTGGGGCAGACAGTCTGACTAGTTTAAGGAGACTGGCTGAAGCTCTGCCCAAACAATCTGTGGATGGAAAAGCACCACTTGCTGCTGGAGAGGATGATGATGAGGTCCCAGATCTGATGGAGAATTTTGATGAGACTTCTAACAACGAGGCAAACTGAATTGAGGCGACTTCTGAAGAAGGTGACACTTGCAGAAGTCACTGGAGCTGCTATTTTATATCATGACTGCTTTTTAAAATTCTTTTGTTTATGGATCTGATAAAATCTAGGTCTCTAATATTTTTAAGCCCAAGCCCCCTAGGCACTGCAGCTCTTTTCAGTTTTTGCTGAAACACAATTTATTCTTTGTAGCAAATTAAGCTGAAGAAGGCTGGGAATAAAGTATGGAAAGGGGTTAATAAAATTCTTTGCCTAGTAAAAACACAAAACAAAACAAAAATGTCTGTCCCACTCACCAGAGGCCATCTAACCAGTCTGCCCACTGCCCATCTCTCATCTCCCATGTACCTAGGAACCAGAGGAACTGGGATTCAGGCCAGCCAGTGTGGGGTGGAGGGTATAGAGGGAGCCCCTTAGTTGGAGAGGGAGTGGAGGGACAGCCCCAGCGTCCCCATCCAGCCTGCTCCTTCTCTGTCCCCAGATGGGAAGCCTATCTCCACAGATGTCATCGTTCTGGGTCGGACCAATCTACTCATCGCCAGTGCACAGCCCAGGCACTCTGGTGTTTATGTCTGCAGGGCCAACAAGCCCCGCACCCGAGACTTCGCCACGGCTGCTGCTGAGCTCCGAGTGCTGGGTGAGGGCTGAAGCTGTGGGTCACTAAAGGACGGGTGGTGGGTGGGTGTCAGAGGGAGGAGGGGGGTTCCTAGAAGATGGAACTTGGAAAGGGATGAAAAGGAAGGGGTCTTTATTTACTAATGGTGACTGTTGGAGGACTGGACTCTAGCTGGAGGATAGAGCAGCCAGAGTTGAGACAGGGATGGAGAGGGGTGTATAAGGCCTAGCTTGGGTGATGGAGAGTGAGTGAGTGGGTGATCTGGAGGGGGGTGAGGTTATGGGAAAAGATAGTAGAATGGCCTGGATGGTGTAAGCCTAGGAGCCAGAATCCAGACGTGTTAGCTAGCACTTGTCTGTTATCCCATCACTTGGAAGGCTATAGCGGGAGTGTGAGTTCGATGCTGGGAGCTGAAAGAGAGGAAAGCTAGCCCAGGATGGGCCAGGGCAAGTGGGCAGGCGGGTGGACTCGAGCTTGGTCCAGGTGACTAGGGGAGAGGACCTCAGGGAGCCGGTAGAGGACGCGGTGTTAGGACCGACCTCTTGTCAGAGTCCCCCTCCTGCCCACAGGGGCTCCTGCTATCTCTCAAGCTCCAGAGGCGTTGTCGCGGACTCGGGCCAGCACTGCTGGTTTCGTGTGCCGCGCGTCGGGGGAGCCACGGCCCGCGCTACGCTGGCTGCATGACGGGGCGCCACTGCGACCCAACGGGCGCGTCAAGGTCCAGGGCGGTGGCGGCAGCTTGGTCATCACGCAGATAGGCCTGCAGGACGCCGGCTACTACCAGTGCGTAGCAGAAAACAGCGCGGGAACCGCGTGTGCCGCTGCGCCCCTGGCGGTGGTGGTGCGCGAGGGACTGCCCAGCGCCCCCACTCGGGTCACGGCCACGCCGCTGAGCAGCTCCGCTGTGCTGGTGGCCTGGGAGAGGCCTGAGCTGCACAGCGAGCAAATCATTGGATTCTCCCTTCACTACCAAAAGGCAAGGGGTATGTCTACTCAAGACCAAGTGGCCCTACTTAGGGCAACCACGGATTAGATGACTGGAAGGATTGCCTGGTGGGGACCGCTGTGGGTGGGGTGAGGGAATGGGAGGCAGTGACCTTCAGTCTAATATTAGAGTTCAGAGTGTGCACCCGCTCCTTCCCCAGAGAGGATACTTCTCTATACAGGGTTAATGGAGTCATCTCCATTAACAGTAGTAGCTACTTCAATTAGACAGCACAAGGAATTTCCTAATCCGTTCTGGAATTGATACAATGGTTAGACTAGATGGCAAGGGCATTTATACCCTTCAGCCTAGATTGCCTTTGATGATTTAGCTATACATAGGCCATTAGGATCCCCAAACTAACTCCAACTGCTCAAACCTGGAATGGGCTGTGACAGTCCCCTTGTCCCCTGTGCCACTACCTCAGGAGTGGACAACGTGGAGTACCAGTTTGCAGTGAACAATGACACCACAGAGCTGCAGGTTCGGGACCTAGAACCCAACACGGATTATGAATTCTACGTGGTGGCCTACTCTCAGCTAGGGGCCAGCCGAACCTCCAGCCCAGCCCTGGTGCATACTCTGGATGACGGTAGGACCTCTGAACCTGCAGTGGCCTGGAACCCAGAGACAGTGTACCCTAAGGACTTCGTCCTTGCCTTGTGATGTCTTTTGTGTCCTGTAAAGGAGTGGGCAGGGTTTCTTCTTCCCAGTGTAAAAGGGGGAGACTGAGGATCAGAGAATGAAAGTGACTTGCCCAAGGTCAGTAGGACAGCTGGGACTTGAGCCCAGCTCTTGTGAGTCCCTGTATCATACAGCCCTCCTTCCTAACACCCATGTCCCATCCAACCATTGGATATAAAAGCTTCTGGCCCACACTGTCTGTTAGCCTTGGAGTAGGAAGGATGTCTCCTCATCCTCCAGCTTGGGGCTCCCCTAAGAGGCTCCCTTAGGAGCTTATGCCGCTGTTCTTCTGTCCTCAGTCCCTAGCGCAGCACCGCAGCTCGCCCTGTCCAGCCCCAACCCCTCAGACATCAGGGTGGCATGGCTGCCCCTGCCTTCTGGCCTGAGCAACGGACAGGTGGTGAAATACAAGATAGAGTATGGTTTGGGAAAGGAAGGTGAGTGGGATTGGGGCAATGGGAAGTCGTCAGTGGGAAAGGGGGTTCTCCACCAGTTGTGGGAGGGGTCCCAGCAGGGGCATGAGAAAGCTCTGGGAAAGGGCAATGGGAGGCTAGAGAGATAGCTTGATGCATAAAATACTTATGCAAGCCCAAGGACCTGAGTTCAATCCCAGCCTGGCACGGTGGTGATGCCTGCTTGTAATCCCAGTGCAGGGAAGATGGAGACAGGAGGCTCCCTTGTACTTACTCACTGGGCTAAATTGGTGAGTTCCAGGCCAGTGAGAGGAAGCCTGTTGTAAAAGGTGCACATACCAGAGAAATGCCAGCAGATGCCATCTGACATGTACCTGCATACGTGTGAACACAAACACTCATGTTAGGGGGCAGTAGAGGAAAAAGAAAGGCAAGGAGGGTTAGTAGCTCAGACAGGGTAAGCAGGTGCCGTGTGTAGTTAGTGGACCCTCTGACTCAGTTTCCTTTCTGTAAGCATGCAGTTCACCTAGTTGATCTTTGGAGCCCTTCTAGTGTAAGCACCAGAGGAGAGATGGGGTCCTACAGGTGTGCATGGGCTTGGGATGGTCCTGCTGGGGAGATGGCAGTCCGGGGGAGGTGACGTGGCTCTAAAAGGAATGGAGAATGTGGAAAGAAGAGTGGCCGCAGTGAGGGTAAAGCTAAAGAAACAGGAGGCTGACCCAAGGCAGCAGCCAGGGCTCCTGACCCCAGGTAGTGCTGAGTGCTCTTAGCTGGTCCTCAAGCCCGCACAAGGGGTGTGTACTGCTTACTTTGACGGTGCACAGAGAGGAGATCGTGCCTTGGTCTTTCCATGCTGAACCAAGACCAGTGAGTAGGCTTCAGCAGCTGGAGCTAGAGGCCCCGGGGTAACCTGGAGGCATGGAGGGGTCAACCTGACTCCATGCTGAGGGGTCAGTGCCCACAGCGCTTGGTGACCTGAAGTGAAAGTCAGTGTGGCAAATTTATAGATTATGGTCCCCAGAAGAAGGACACCAAGCAGCCCATCCCTTTTGTTCCAGAAGATCAGGTTTTCTCCACTGAGGTGCCCGGAAATGAGACACAACTTACGTTAAACTCACTTCAGCCAAACAAGGTGTACCGAGTCCGGATTTCAGCTGGCACTGGGGCCGGCTACGGCGTTCCTTCCCAGTGGATGCAGCACCGGACTGGACAGTGGGAACGAGTGTTCTGTGGCCTTGGAATCCCAGACCATCCCCAGCACAGACCTTTATTGCCACCCCACCCCCTCTTCCCACCTCTCATCCCCCCCCCACCTTTTGCACACACACGTGATGTAACAGGGAAGCCTGGGTGTAGGAGTGAAGGGCTGGGTTCAAGTATCTCTCTCTCTGTTCACTTTGTGACCTCTGACAAGTCACTCACATCTCTAAAGCTTCATTACTGCTATAAGGGGTGGCATCAGGAGTCGATGTATTTACACATAAAGGGGTTGGCACAGAATAGGAACTCAAGCTGAGGATATGGTTCACTTGGTAGAGTGTTTGCCTAGCATGCACAAAGCCCAGGGTTCGATCCTCAGCACCACATAAACCCAGCATGGTGGCACTTGTCTGTGATTCCAGCAGAAGGATCAGAAGTTCAAGATCTGCCTCACCTACCTAGTGAGTTTGGGACCAGCCTGGGATGCACGAAACTCTGTTTGGAAGGAAGGAAGGAAGGAACCCATTAAATAGAGGCCCAGTAGTAGAGTAATTAAATGGCTACAAAGTCAGCCACCATTTTCAGATATCTGGCAAGTTACTTGACTTTCTGAGCTTAGTTTCTATCTGTAAGATACAGATAATAGATTTAAAAAAAAACAAGATTATAGAGTGGATTAAAATAAATACACAAAGGCTGCCATGATGGCCCAGCTAGTAAAGGGGCTTGCTCCTTTTTTCTGCGGATCAGACTCCCATTGTCTCCCCAGAATCTATATGGTGGCAGGAAAGACCTCAGACCTACACACACACACACACACACACACACACACACACACACAAATAGATACTTAAAAAAATTTAAATACATATACAAAGTGTTTGAAGCAGTGTCTTACATATAGCCAGTTCTCTATTCTTGGGCTCAGAGTAGGGGCCTTCACTCTAATGGTTCCAGACCCCCTTCCTTACCTAAGCAGTCCCTTGTCTGTATTCCTTCAAGAGAACAGCAGCAGCCCCTCTGTTCCCCACATCGGGCCTGCGCCGAGGCGCCCCCTACTGTCTCTTTTGTGCATGCCCAACAGACGCGCCTTCACAGCTAGCATGCAGTGCTCCAGGCCACCGGGAGGTGGCAGAGTGGAGGAGTAGGGAAAGCCCTGGGACAACTCGCTATGCTGTGCCCCGCCCCTGCCCACCATCTGCTCAGGTCTCTGACCTCACTCCTCATTCTCTTCCCCTTGTCTCCATCATCTTCCTCTGCCCCCAGTCCCTTTTGCCCCTGCAGAATTGAAGGTGAGGGCAAAGATGGAATCCCTGGTGGTGTCATGGCAGCCGCCCCCTCACCCCACCCAGATTTCTGGATACAAACTCTACTGGCGTGAGGTGGGGGCAGAGGAAGAGGCAGACGGTGACCGCCCCCCAGGGGGCCGTGGAGACCAGGCTTGGGATGTGGGGCCTGTGCGGCTCAAGAAGAAAGTGAAGCAGTATGAACTGACCCAGCTAGGTGAGCAGGCCTGGGCTTGGGAGGGTCATGGAAGCCGGGCAAGGTGGGTACAGGGAGAGTGACCCCAGTGGCTTTCTTTCCTCAGTCCCTGGCAGGCTGTACGAAGTGAAGCTCGTAGCTTTCAACAAACACGAGGATGGCTATGCAGCTGTGTGGAAAGGCAAGACCGAGAAGGCACCCACGCCAGGTGAGGGGGCTGCAGGGGACGTGAGCCTCCTTTCTCCTTTCCCTGACCAGCCAGCAGGCAGTGAGCATGCCACATCCACTCCAGCCCACCTTCCTGGGCAGGAGTCCTTGTGCTGTCAGACATGCCCCTTTATTCTCAAGCTAAGCAGAACAAATGGGGGAGAGTTTGAAAAGGTTTAGGAACCCCATGCTTGATGTGTGATTCCTGGTTTCAAACCGCAAGATCCTTCGATCCTTCCGATCATCCCATAATTCTCATTTACGTAAAAAGAAATGAGTTTTGTGTATGGATGTTTTGCTTGCGTGTGTCTGTGCATCACCTGAGTTCTTGGTGTCCCTCGAGGCCAAAAAAGGGCTCCGAATCTCCTGGGACTGGAGTTACAGACAGTTGAGAGCTGCCTTGTGGGTGCTGGGAATCAAACCCAGATTCTTTGAAAGAGCAGTAAATGCTCTTAACTGCTGAGTTGTCTT